GCGGCATGCAAAACGTGATAAAAAATAAATGAATAAAGAAAATTAAAAAAATGTCGGAAAAATCAAGGACGTCACATCTTCAGTAGAAATCTTTGTCCCGAACTACATTGCTGGAACTAAGTTTTTTATTTTTTAAAAGGTAAAGGTAATTATTCATACAACATTATTGACGTCATATGAAAAATGATAGAGAAGACTCGAGGTTTTCTGCAAAAATCTATATTCAAAGTCCAAACCACGTAGCTAGAAGTCATATGGAAAATGATACAAAAGACTTTTGAAGTCTTTTATGAAAAACTTCAAAAGTCTTTGTGAAAATTTCTATCCCAAATCGCATTTAGCAAGTCCATAAAACATTACTTATCATATATAAACAGAAGACGTGAGCTGAAGTCCTCTACAAAAATTTATGTCCAAGTCACACGTAATAATTAAGACTTTAATTTTTGCAGTTCAAATAAGGTATGCGAAAATCATTGCAACCACATAATACAAAGTGAGACCCATCCCATTTTGAATGCAAAACCACTTAGCGTGGTCCAAGTAGCATTAATTTTTGCAGTACCTTTGATGTAGGTGCACCAGACTAGGGGTGCACACGATTCTGGTTTTCATGGTTCCAGTCGGAACCGGAATCAGAACCGTTCACGACGGTTCCTTGAAAATGGAACCGGAACAGTATAGTATGGAACCTAACCGTAGAACCGGTTCAGTTCCATGAAAACTGTTAACCATGGGTTGAGAGACAGCGGCTGAAGCTTGCGACCGAACTGGAACAGCAGCGATGGAAACTAAAAGATATGGGTTTTGATTTTTTGAATAATCTGAAATGATATGCCGATATGGGTTTTGAACTTTTGATTATTGCAGACAAATCTGAAATATATGGGTTTTGAACTTCTGATTCTTGTAGATTTTGTAGTTTACACTTGCAGAGATAGAGGGCAAGTTTAGCAGTTGCAAAGAGAGAGGGAGGGGCAAGCTTGAGAGTTGAGAGACAGCGGCTGAAGCTTGCGAACCCGAACTGGAACAGTAGGCGATGGAAACTGAAAGATATGGGTTTTGATTTTTTGAACAATCTGAAATGATATGCCAATATGGGTTTTGAACTTTTGATTCTTGTAGACAGATCTGAAATATATGGGTTTTGAACTTCTAATTCTTGTAGATTTTGGTGTTTGCAATTGCACAGAGAGAGGGAGAGAGAGGGAAGTTCAGATCTGAGAATGAAAATAGAGAGAGGGCAAGTTAAGAGTTGAGAGAATAGAGATGGAGGTGATTGGTTTAGATGGTTAGATGAGTTTTCACCCACGTGGTTGCTTGTAGGCCTTTAGTTTAGAATAACTATATATATATATATATATATATATATATATATATATATATATATATATATATATACGGTTCCAGTTCTTACCGGTTCCCACGGGCTGGAACTGGAATCGGAATCGTACACCCACAATGCCAAAATTAAGAACCGGGACCAGAACCAAAACCGTGAGAACCGATTCTTTTGTGCACCCCTACACCAAACCCCATGTCTATTGTTTATTCTAAGTTGTCCAAAAGCTGAAAAAGTTAAAACATACTCCAGAACCAATTGTGGGAAAGAATTCTCTAAGAGTGGTTCCAAACTTCATGTTGTGAAACTTTGAGCCTCGATCATGTCAAATAGACTAGCAAAGGAAATGAATATCATCTTTACAAAATAGATTATCCATTTGGTGTACACATTGATGCGTAAGGGGAATCAATACGACCGGTCAGCAAAAAAGTCGACAAAAACACAATCCTAGTATATAGTATTTGGTTAAGGTGAAAATATATTCAAGCAAATTGTATTGAATAACATAAAAGTTACTACAAATATTTGTAGTTTTAATAATTAATTTTTATTTTTTGTTTTATTTTTATTTTTAATTTTCAACACATAGAAATTAAGAAAATTTTGAATATTAAGCACCATTAGAATGACGTTATAATTACAAAAATACCCTTCTTAGAAATATAAGAAAATTTAAGTTTTCCTTAAAATAATTTTCATTTTAGGAGCTCACTTCAGATGCGATGTCTAGATGTTGTTCCTTTATTTTGCTAGAATGAACACCCATTGTGGTGCCAAACTTGGATTCAATGAGAGGGAAAGTAGAACCCTAAAATGATGTTTGAAAGCTTAGGGATATATGTCATCCTGGTGGCAAACTTGGATTCAATGAGAGATAAATTTGAGTGCCCTAAAACAAAATTTGAAAGCTTAGGGATGTGTTAGATATGACGATAAACAATGGGTATGACAATAATAACAATGACCTCAATTTTTTAGCCGCAATGATAGGGTTAGACCAGAGTCTAGGGTGACGAAAATGATGAAAATTGTTCTATGAGTGAAGTCCATTCCATATTGAAAGATTACTTGGGCACAAGACTCGACGGAGGCCCCAAACTAAGTCACTGGAAACAAGTCCATATAGCATTACTTACTACTATATGGGAGTCTTTTATAAAAATCTCTCCCAAATCGCGTCACTAGAAGAAAGTCTATACAACATTACTTACTATTTGAAAGATGATACCGAAGACTTTGAGCTAAAGTTTTCTACAAAAATCTATATCTAAATCATGTTGCTAGAAGCTATATGAAAAATAATACAGGACTTCAAAAGGCGCCTGTGGAAATCTCTGTCCCAAATCGCGTCACTCGAAGTCCATACAACATTACTTATCATATGGAAAAGGATACTAAAGACTTGAGCTGAAGTCTTTAAAATGAAACGAGCATTGTTAATAAATTTTGTAATAACATGGTAATATCACAAAAACTCAAAATATGTAAGTGATGCATATATATTTATAAAAAAATTCGAGTAAACATCCACAATATTGCTTTTAATTGGACTCGAACAATTAATCTCTTTTTAATAATGCCTATACATAAAAAAATAATAATAATAAAATTGTAAAACATGCGTACAAGATAAGCTATTACCTATGCCTCCTTGATTATAGTGTTACACATGGACAAGTTTGGTTATTTGATAAGCTAGAAATATTGTTCGACACAAGTAAAGTATTAAGCAACTTAGAAAAGTCGTGAAATACTAATTCTGGAGGTTATAGGATTTGCTCATAACTAATTGGTTACTTAGAAAAGTTGTGAAATGGTAATTATGAAGTCATAAGATTTGCTCTTAACAAGTTGGTTTTCTTCACAAGATTTGCTCATAGTTTTGGTTTTGCGAAAGAATTTCTAATCTTAAGGTTTCATTTGTTTGGACGTAAAATATTTTTCAAAAAATATATATATTTTTTATTTTCTAGTATTTGGTTGTCGTAAAATATTTATGAAGAAAAAATTAATTACAATCTAACAAAAATAACTTACTTATCAATTTTAGGCAAGTTATTTTACACGTCCTGCCCATTGGGTTAGATATGAACCTCGACCGACTTCTTTACCAAACACCAAAAAAAAAAAAAAATAAAGAAAGAAAATATTTTACCTAAAAAAGAAAAAAAATTTCTAAAAAAAAAATTTTACATCGAAACGAACAGAGTCTAAGTGTGTGTCGACATACCATTGAAATTTTAATTTATCCAATGTGTTACCAGTGAAAAAAAAGGGCAATTCTTGATAGAGCAATGTTATTCAAGCTGTAAACAATATGTGAAAAGAAACTGCCATTAAATATAACAATTTTATTTTTATTTTTTATTTTACTTTTAAAACATAGAACCTTTAGTTCTTAGCTCCGCCTTCTCATTGATATTGACTTCTCTGGTTTTGTTTAATTCTATCTTTCAAAAAAAAAAAATTACCCACATCTTTAACAAAGTTAGAATAATGAGTACAAATTACTAACTTCATTTTTTTCAAAAAAATGAACATAAAAATAAAACTACAATTTCATTCCTTGTTGTGTATAAAACAAAATGGGTAGCGGTAGATGGGAAACATTATGATTCTAAATTGTCAGTCAACCCATAACATTATCAATAGTCTACAACCATATAATTCTGGCAATATGCCAGTAATGACATATGAGTCTATACCAAAGGCTCTATGGATAAATGGATCATATTTAGTTGTAAGTAGTGTACCTATAAACCAATGACAATGAATTCGATTGCATGACCAAGTAATGAACGGCGGCATTACCCTAATAGTCTAACTGATAAAGTGCACAACTCTCTTAAAGGTAAATTTACAAAAATTTAATAAAGAATAGGTCATCAAATTAGTATGATTTTTTTGTATAATTTATTTTAATAAGAAAAATGAATTACGTTTAATTCAATAAGAAAAGGATATTATGGTCATTTAACAAAATAGCCTAGGGGGAATTTTGCGACAAAATGTGATAGATAGGGGGTATTGTGCACAAAATATGCTTCAAATGAGTTATTTGCAAATTTATACATAGTTCTGAGGCTTTGTTTTTACACTTACCCTAAAATTAATTAAGTGTACTCTTATTAAGAACTTATATAAATATTAATATATATATATATATATATATATATATATAATTCACCAAAAATGGAATTCTAATTTAATTTGCATAAAACCAAAATCAATTGAAAGTTTAAATATGTAGTATATTTTAATGTTACCTATTTATTTTAACAAATACCTTTATCAATTATGTGGCGCCCCAAGTTGAGGTCCAGACTTGCCAATAACTCAACAAGTGCATGACTTAATATCACTATATAAAATAAGAATTCTTGAAACTAACAGATTTACTCATGGTCATTAGTTCAATAAAAAAAATTCAAACTAACAAAATTACTCATGGAAATATTTTTGTACAAATCAATAAACATTCTTCATACCAAATTAAAAAAATTAATAAGTTCCAAAGTTTTCAACATTCTATACCGAAATAAACTATCCAAAGTACATTCTTTCAATGCAAAACCAATTAAACAAACCAAATTATATTTTTCCAACGTACCAAATTTAACAATCCAAATTACATTATTCTTTCATCACACCAAACTAAACAAACCAAATTACATTATTCCAAATCAAAGTACAAAAGTCTTAAAACGGAGATAAATAGTTCACACATAAAATACATTAAAAACCACTCTCAAGTCTTAACAATCCAAATTACATTATTCTTTCATGGCACCAAACTAAACAAACCAAATTACATTATTCCAAACCAAAGTACAAAAGTCTTAAAACAGAGATAAATATTTCACACATAAAATACATTAAAAACCACTCTCAAGTCTCTTTAAAGGCTTTCCGGCCATGAGAATTACATCACATGAGTTGCAGAGCTGGAAAGAAAATGATATAAATGTTAGAACAAATTAAAGAGTATAAATTAAAGAAGAATGTTCTTGAAAAACAAACGGAGAACAAAAAGAACACTAAACTTTTACATAAATTAGTAATCGTAATAATCGAGCTCATTCTGAGCTCACGTTTTGATTAGTAAATATAACACATAAGCTTATGTGTTTTTTTTTTGGGGCAAGTCATAAGTTTATGTTTTGGTTTGTGATTAGTTAAAATAACACTGGATCAAGCTCCTACTATGCCTTAAAAATGGGGATGATTAATATAATTGAAAGAATACCAAAAGGTTTCTCGTGAAAAATATAAAGGCACATGAATAGACAATAAAAAAAATACATAAAAGAGAGATCATTTGCAATTTCATATACTCAATTGAATAATCAATCTGTTAAATATAAAATTCAATCTACTTACAGAATATATATAAATTCAACCAGTCAATTAAAGATAAAATTCAATCTAGTCGGTGAACATATATAAATTGAGATATCAACGTACTAAAATTTTAAATCTAATCACCAAATTAAAGACCATACACACAGTGATTTATAGACACCCACACAGAGTGATTTATAAACTCCCCCACACACATGGTGATGATAAATGGACACCCACACACTAGGGGTGCAACTTGGGTTGGGAAACCCGAACCCAATCCGAGCCCAGTCCAATTTTTTACGAGCTTGGGCAATTATTTTTACAATTAGGGTTGGACTTGGGTTGAAAAATATCAACCCGAATTGAATTAGGGTTGGGCTTCGGTTGAAGTGCTACCAACCTGAGCTAACCAGAACCCGAATTGTAATATTATTTTTATATATATTTTTACTTTAAAATATATTTTATATATTATTTAAACTATGATTACCTTTTTTTTTTCAACTTACTTTGTCAAATCTCAACTTATTGTTTGTAATTTATTAAAAATCTATAAAAAGTCTTCGAATTTTTCTTTCTTTTTTTTTGGTTTAAGAGTAATTTAATCTAAAACTAATGCAAGATCAAATTAAATTTTCGGTGTGAAGATTAGTCATATGAGTAACCCGAATTAACCCGAAGTTTTAACACGAAATTCAAGCCCGAATTTAAAAGTAGAAGGATGGGTTGGGCTCGAGTTAAGTTGTTAGGGTTGAGGATAGGGTTAGGATTGGACTTGGGTTTAGTGTTTCATATGGTGGGTTGGGCTCAAGTTATACCTCAAACCCGCCCAACCCGCTTGAGTTGCAGCCCTACCATACACAGAAGTCTTTGAATTTGAAGAAGAAGGAGAAGAAGAAGTAAGAGCTAGAGTGGGAGAGAGAGAGATTGTGTGTGAGAGCACTGAGCATAGGACATAGCACCACGGGAGGGTGGTAAGAAAGGAAGGAAGAGATGTGGAGGGAAGATGAGAATAAATACATTTTCTTCATTCGGTAGAGAGAAGACAAGGACAAAAATGATAATACAATACATGAGTCATTTTTTCCCCTTTACAAATTTACAACCATACAAATAGGAAGAAGAAATGACTATTATTTAAATTTTAAATTACAGTACTATCCTTCATAATACCCTTTAAAAATATATTATTTACTTATTTAGTTTTAGGGTTATTATTGATTAAGTCCGTTTTGGGAAGAAAAGTAGAGGAAAATTTTGTCTACAAATTAGTTTTAACATCACAATACCATCAACTTCTAAAATTCACCATAAACTCAAAACTCTACTATTTGGAACTAAATAAAAACCTGTAACTCTTGAACAAGTGTACTTTAATATCTCAAATTTTCATTTACAAATTACAAGTCAAATTATAAAAATTTCAGTCATAAAATCATATTGTTCAGTTCAGTTTTTCAGCATAAGAATTTACTTAAAAATCTAACAAACCTTCAACTAATTCATGCTCAAGAAAGTAGTTTGACAACTTAAATCCACATCTCTCATGTGAAAATAAATTTATGAAAAAACTTCAAATTTTAATAATTAATTTTCCAAAGTTGAGAAAGTTAGAATATCTACTTCTTTGAGCTTTTCTCCAATTTTCTACCGCTTTTTCCCTTTTTCCCTCTTGTCTTTTTTATTTCTTTTATCGTTTTTTGAGTCTCTTCTTGTTAATTTTTTTTCTATCTATTACATATAAATTATATATATAACTACTAATTCACTAAGCTTCAAGGAAAAGGGCGGCTCAATTTAATTAGAGGCGTTAGGTGAAAAATAAAAAGTGACTTTTCTCTACTGTAAATTTTCTATTTATTTTACGTGGATTAGTTGTTCATTTATTTAATTTTCACCTAATGTTTTTATCTGTTCTTTTCTTCATTTTCTAATAGACATATTCAATCGTATAAATGAAAATAGTCACAACTCACAAACAAAATATATAATTTTACAATAACAAAAATTAATAAGACTATAAACTAATTTAAGGTAAATAACAATTTAACTTGATTTAAAAAAATTCGTTCCAATACTTCAAAAAATTCCTCAACTAAAACTTGAGATGGAGTGAGATTGTGATGAATGGTGAAGATAAAATAAGAGTAATGAGAGAAAAGGAAAATTTTGTAGTGAGAGAAAGTGAAGATAAAAGCTCGAATATGGAAAGTTTTACAATTTTCATTAGGCTCAAATATATAAGTATTCAATAATAAGGGTTTGTGTAATGATAATGATGGAGGAGAATAATAAAAAATAAAAAATAAAATAAAATAAAAACATGGAAAGAAGGGAAGAGGGAAAAAAAAAATGTTAATTTTCATTATTGAAAAGTTGTCATTTGATATTGCTGCATACCCACGAATTTATAAACATTTTACTTTCCATTCAAATCGGATGTGGGACAACTATCTTATAACACTAGGCCATTAAAAAAAGTAAGAAGATTTGAACAAATTTCTTGTCATGAAACCTTTTCTTTTTGGTTCCATGAAATAATAAAAATTCATACTATTTTTAACATCATCTTGTCATGGCGGTCATTTTCCCAAAATGAATCCATCCAAGATGATATATTTTAAGTTGAGAGGTGATCTAAAAAGTGAATCAGGCAGTAAAGACATCCAAATGGGTCCACTTTGAATGAAACGCGTAAAAGAAAATTCAGCACAAGAACATTATAGTAAAGTGCATGATTACCATCCTATAGTTAGAAAACAACTTTCAAATTTAGTGAAACTAGTAATAGTTTAATTAAATGAAGCATATAAGTGAAATCGATCTACTAAAGCTAGCAATTAAAGTAATGATATTTGTGATAAAGGAGAAATATAGAATCTGCATAGCCTAGTTCACAACAAAACTCATCCTATAAATTAATAATCTTGAGAAAGGGTCAAAATTAAGCCGAGTAATACATACCTAAGGTGTTATTTCACTTCTCCTTGCGTAATTTGATAATATTCTCCGAGAACTCCTTCCTGTCATGTATCACATGACGTCTACATGTATCAGTATGTTCACTCAAATCCGTAATGGTTTCCATAAACCCAATCATCTTCATCTTGATCTCTTCCATAACCAGCGTCACAGAAGCCTCTTCATTAAGAGCAAACTCAGCAATATGCAACATTGACTGAATCTTATTTTTCGCATTTTTCACATCTGATGCAATGTGGTCCAAGTCGGTTTTCCACACGAGAGTGGACGATTCTAATGAACTTATTTTCTCGTTCTGTGATTTCAGTTCATTCTCATACTTCATCAAATAGTAATCAATCCATCCACCACCCATTTCCTCCAACCCTGCAGCGGCAGCCGGGATGATGGCAGCCCCCAAGGCCATCACAGCCGGAGGTGCACAAATTGCCATCACCACAAGAGAACATATCAGAAGAGAAGCACAAGTCACCCCCAAAATTACATGCGATACAGTCCTCCAAGTCTTCACTGACTTCAACTTGTTATCAAGCTCAGTCTTCTTCACTCGAAATTTCTCTAACATTGACTGTTCAGTTTTATAGACAGAATCAAACAGGGAGGACAACTCTTCCGTAAAAAGGTTACCTTCCGTTTTGTATTTCTGCAACGACTTTAGCGTCTTTGAATAGACTTCCGTCCTATCACCGATCCTGTCTCTCTTTGCTTCCTTATAATGGTCTAGAGCGGCTTGAATCGGAAATTGGCTGTCTTTGGCGCGGGTGATGCATTCCTGGAGTTTATCACAGAGATTCAAAATCTCACCACTGTAATCGAAGTACTCCTTCACAAGATCTCGCATGCCATCATTCTTTGATATGTCAGTTTTGCAATGGAGGAGGAGTTTCACGACTTGTCGATTCGAATCGACGAAGCAGTCTGTGATCTTTTTCAGTGATGTCACGGGGGATGACTGACCCTTGATGCCATCTGCGAGGGTGTTGATGGCTCCGTTGGTGTTTTTTTGGAGGGTACAATCGAATGACTTGAGAAATGGGTCGTCTTGACACGCGGCCTTGTAGGAGCTCAGTTCGGACTGAACGTCCCTATATATAGATAGGTACTGTGGTTTTATATTCCTAGAATGAGCAGCGAAATTTGATACGGGAATCAATGCCATACTTGGATTCAATGAGGGAAAAATTAAAATATACCTAAAACGAAATTTGAAAGCTTGGGGATGTGTGATATATGATTGTGGTGACAAATTTGCATTCAATGAGAGAGAAATTTGAATACCCGTAAAACAAAATTTTATAGCTTCGGGATGTGCTATATAAGAAGATTGATAGTGGTCAGGACAATCATCGCCGTGAGCTCAATTTTTAAGCTACAGTGACAACAGAGTTAGACCAAGTGTAGGCAGACAAAAAATGGAAATTGTTGTATGTGTAAAGTCCCTCCATCCCGAGTTAAATAAGAAAAGTAATACCTGGGCCGCGTTGGTAGAAGTCGTTTGTCCCACGTAATAATTAATATTAGAACAATCCACATCCACAATAGTCAAAACCGTTGAACACCTAAAATGGACATGGTCGGTGGGGAAAAATCTATGTCCAAACCCGACACGGAGACGGTAACACTAAAGACTAGTCGGAGACATCGTTGCCAATTCCATTCCTTATTTATTTCATTATTATTTTTTGTTTCCAAAACTAATCATTCTAGCACAAGAAGAACCCGGCAGCGGATTCCCGCAAGCGAAATTTGGGTACATATGAAAGTTATTAAAAAGGGCAAAAAAAAAAAAATTTTGATCTTGTATCTAAGAAATAGAGAGAGAAAGAGGTTGAGGAGAGAGAGATAAATATTCAGAGAGATGTGGCAAATGACGTGTCTTAATATCAGCCCTCAAATTAGTTTTGGAGAGAGCATGAGAGAGATGTCATTAGGAACTACATGGAAAATGATATAAAATTTATGTGGAAATCAAGATGATACAAAAAGACTTTAGAAGTCTTCTGTGGAAATTTGTGTCCTAAATCGCGTTGCTAGAAGAAAGTTCATACAACATTACTTACCATGCATATGGAAAATTATACAGAAGACTTGAGCTGAAGTCTTCTGCAAAACAATCTCCGTGTTTAAATCACATCATTAAAAGGCATATGGAAAATGATGTAGAAAACTTCCGGAATGCAAAGTGGGCCCCATCCCATGCATCTTTTGGCTGGTGTTGTCCAGCAATGACAATGATTTATAATGAAAATTACCTTTGCTCTTTCTTCCGTGAGACATTTTTACAGTGATTACTCTCCTTTAGAAACTTTGGATTTGGTTGTATTTGTACAAAGAGATTGGGGTTCAGTGGCCTAGAGGGTGTTTGAATTGAATTTTGGGCGTGTGTGTTATTTTAATCAGACTCGAACTTTCAATCTCTTTTTGACAATGCTTCAATATAAAAAATGTTGAAACAATTTACAATGTTGTTTTGTCTATACCTCCTTGATCATAGTGTTGCACATAGACAAGTTTTGATTATTTGATATGCTAGAAAAAATTGTTTGACACATTGGAAATGTAGAAGAGTTATGAAATAGTAATCATGGGTCATAAGATCTGCTCAGTTGGTTTTCTATATTAATATTTTTCTTTTTCTGCTAAGGTCTTGAATTTTGATAGCATAATTGGTTAAATAATTATAGTTTATCTTACCTATGGTTTCAAATTAGTTGATAGCATGATTGGTTAAATAATTTTTTTATTTAAAAAAAAAAAGTCAATTCTTAAAAGAACAATTATTCAAGCTAGGTTTCAAATTAGTTGATAGCATGATTGGTTAAATAATTTTTTTATTAAAAAAAAAAAAAAAGAGAACAATTCTTAAAAGAACAATTATTCAAGCGAAAATTTTTGGCCAACTAAACAATTTGAAAAGATGACCCAAGTATAACAACTTTAATTTTAATTTTAACTTTATTTTATTTTTAAAATATAGCAACTTTAGTTATAGCCTAACAAGTAACATACCCCGCATCTTGAGTACTGATCTCTTGCTCCCCATAGAGCAAGAAAAATCTTCCGCACTTTTTATAGTGACCATTAGATTAAATCTAATGGTCACATTCCAAACCCACTTAAATATTTTCCTTTTAATATAAAACCATTATCATTATTTCTACTTTCCAATTTAATATTTACCAATACAATTAATTATAACAATAAAAGGTAAGTACTAAAAAAATAAAAATAATGATAGTATAATAATAGCAGTATTAAAGAAAATACTAAAAAAAACAACTAATTTACAAAGGAAATATGAAATTTCATATAATAATAGCATGTTTTGTCGTGAATCTCATCCTTACGTCAATAAATTTTTGTTATTATAGTATAATTAGAAAAAAATATATTGTGTGACAGAAAAATAGATTGAATTTCTAGTTTTAAATAACATGTATTTGGGGAGGTATACAATAATTTAAATTATAATCTATTAAATTTTTTATGGGTGAAGTTTATGTAAATCATAGATTACATTAAGTTGATCAAGTGGATAAAAAAATAGAGATTTTATTTTTAATTTTTAATTTTATTTTTTAGTCGATGTTTCATTGTTTTGTATGTCAATAGTGTAAATTTTAATTTATTTTGCACACTCAAACAGACAATGTCAACTTTAGTATTGGTGAGACGTGATTTCAAAAGGTGAAGAGATTTCTATTTTTATTTTTTTAGTACTTACTTTTTATTGTTATAATTAATTGTATTGGTAAATATTAAATTTGGAAACTATAAATAATGATAGTGGTTTTGTATTAAAAGGAAAACGTAGGTTTAGAATGTGACCATTAGATTTAATCTAATGGTTATTATAAAAAGTGCGGAAGAATTTTCTTGCTCCATGGGGAGCAAGAGATCACTACTCCCCGCATCTTTAAAAGGTCAGAAAAGCTACTAAAATTATTAAAATTATAATTTCCTTCCTTGTCCTGTAAAGAACAAAATACATAACACTAGATGGTGGCATCATGGATTCCAGAGTGTCATTTTTTGAACGCTTATAGCCCAACAAAATGCTAACATGGGAAGCGTAAATTTCTTAGGAGCCGAGTATAAGTTCACTGATCTTTATTGAATCCTTCCAATTAAGCAACTATTTTGGTTCTTTTTACTTTTCCATCTTTCATATTTGCTCTTTCCCCAGTAAATGAATCCATTTAAATTTTAAAAATGATACTCGCCATGAGCTCAATGTTTTAGCTTTAATGAGAGAGAGTTAGACAAGAGTCTATATGAAAAAAAGATGGAAAATGTTGTGTATATGAATGAAGTTCATCCCAGTTTAAATATGAAAAATGCTACTTAGACGAACACTCCAGCGATACCCCAAATTGCGTAGTTAGATTTAAGCAAGTCTACGTAAAATTATACAGAATTTTCTATTCCAAACGAAGTTGCTAAAAGCAATATAGAAGACTCGGGTTAAAGTATTCTATAAAAATCTTTATCCAAGCCACATGACTAACAACAATGGGTCAATATAATTTGACGCCTTAGATGCAAAATATAAAAGTAGCGTTTTAATATCTAATATATATATATATATATATATATATATATATAGTCAATCCATACAACTTATACTTAATGAAAAATGAGGAAAAAATATGTCAGAAATGAGAAGGAGAAACAAAAAACAAAAAAAAAGATAAAAGTTAAAATAAGAATATGGAAAGTTTTACAAATTCTGTAAAAAAAAAAAAAATGTGAATGAGGAGTTGGGAGAGAAAAAAAAGAGGAAAGATAAAAATAGAAATCTTTTGACCCCTATTAAAAATTTCTATTGGTTATGGTCTAATTATCAATATAAATAAAATTTTCAAGGAGGTTATAATATAAGGAAATTAAAAAAAAAAAAAGAAAAAAAAAATTGGGGCTTTTCTATTAGACAGAGTTTAATAAACATGGGTTGATTAAGTCCGCGCACAAAATAAAAAAATATCAGTCAATCAATAATAAACAAGCACGGGGTATTACAAATAACATTTCTAGGAAGGTTATAATATAATCAAATAAAAGATTTTGAAAGTTATAATATAAAGAAATACAAATTTTGGTGCTTTATAAATACAAATTTTAGAATAAAATAAAAAATGAGGGATTTCTATTGGCTAGATCCTAGGCAACCGTCTAAGTCGCCTAAAGGTATAGCCGCCTTTAGCGACTAAAAATTATATAAAAAATTACACGAAAGACTACTTTTTTAATGGTAAAGCAAACACGCATTCTTTGCAGAAATTTGTATCTACATAAATCAAAGTAAGTGGACCCATCATCAATGCATTCCAATTTAAATATGAAAAATGCTACTTAGGTGAAGACTTCAGCAGATACTCTAAATCGCATGGTTAGAAGCAAATCTATGAGAAATTATACAGAAACTTTTATTCCAAACCAAGATGCTAGGAGTAAGTCCATATAACATTACTTAATGTAAAAGTTAATTGCTACAAAAATCAATATTTCAAACGATATAGAAAAGTTGGGGTTGAAGTAGTCTATAAAAATCTCTATCCAAATCACTTGACTAGAAATTATATAAACAATTACACAAAAGACAATTCTCCGGATTTTTTGTTTTTAAATGGTAAAGCAAACACACACCCTACTCGGAAATCTTAAGTCAAAGTAGATGGATCCATCCGCGGAAACTTCGATTTTCGTCCATGCAGCATTAACTACTTCTCTTTTGAATAATGTCCGTACATAAAAAAATAAAAAATAAAAAAATGTGAAACATGCAGACAATATAAGCTTGTCCTATGCCTCTTCGATCATTCTAATTTGTATTATTTTAAATTTTCTTCATATAATTTTTATCCATTTCTAGAAGGCTAGAAGCTATCAAATTCTAATAAATGAAAACCTGCTTGCTGATTGATTCAATATTAAATTCTATCAAATTCATCATGAGGCAAATAAATGTCCCGAATTCGATTATAACCCTAAGATGAAAATATGTGTTATGCTATTGCTAAAGTTGACAAGCAAATCTACACGGAGCTAAGTTTCAAAGTTAAAGGTACCAAGCTCTAGTGAAATGGGTACAGTAAGTTTGTTGCCATGCACGATTTCAATTGTGGACGTAAATTGTTATCCAATCACGTATAAATTTTTGTATTCTTTGTACGACATGTTTAATTTGTTATCATGATTCTTAATTCAATTTGAGTTCGTTACGTTTATCATAACAGTTACAATGAAATAATATTTTTCAATTAGTTTTGCTTTTGCAAATGAATTTCTAATCTTTAGTATGCATGGACACCCCAGTTGAAATATTAATTTATCCAATGCGTTGCCTGTGGCTTCAAATTAGCTGATAGCATAATTGGTTAAATAATACTTTTTATTAAAGAAAAAAAGAAAAAGGAACAGTTATTCAAGCTTACAATTTTGGCCATCTAAACAATGTGAAAAGAAGATGACCAATAAGTATAATAACTTTAATTTTAATTTTATTTTATTTTAAAAATATAGCAACTTTAGTTATAGCCTATCGTACCCACATTTTTAACATGATCAAAAAAGCTAGTAAATTTCCACGTAGTTAGAAACTTGGTGGAAAATGATACAGAAGACTTCAAATGTTTTCAATAGAAAAATTTGTTCCAAAACGTGTCGGTGGAAAATGATACAGAAGACTTCAAATGTTTTCAATAGAAAAATTTGTTCCAAAACGCTAGAAGCAAGTCCATAAAACATTACTTACCATTTGAAATTGATACAAAAGACCTGAACTTCATTCTCCATCCAAACCACATTGGTAGAAGCTGTCCTAAAAATGATACAGAAGAATTTTCTGTGGAAATTTTTGTCTCAAACTGTGTAGCTAAATGTAACTCCATACAACATTACTTACCATATGAAAATGATATAGACGACTTGAGCTCAAGTCTTCTGCGAAAATCTCTTGGAAATGATACAGAAGACTTCAGCTCCTCAAGTCTTATGCAAAAATCTCTCTCATTAAGTCGCGTAGAAACTATATGAAAAATGATACAAAAAACTTTAATTTTTGCGGTCCAAATTACGTCGCAAGAAGCTATACGGAAATCATTGCATCCACATAATGCAAAGTAGGATTGCAAATGAATGAGCCGAACCAAGCTTTGGCTTGCTCGGGCTCAGCTCGCCAAGTGTAGAATGGTGCTTGGGCACGTCCAAGCTTGACTTAGATAAGCTCGAGCTCGGCTCGCCAATATTTGAACGAGCTCGGGCTCGGCTCGGTTCGAGCTTGCATTTTAAAAAATTTCTTCTTAATCATCATCATCATCTCTGCAAATCAGTCTACATTATCATCGTCATCTCTTCAAACCAGTCTATATTCTTCACCGTCTCATAACTCCATCAAAAGTAAGAAAAAAAATGGGTATGAAGAAAAAGAATATAGTTGAGAGAGATGAAGACATATCTCAAAGGAGTTGTTGTTAGAGCAAGTTTATAGCATCAATCACCCGTAGATTAAGTGGATCTGCGATTGAGAGGGCTCCTGTAATCATGCCATTACCAAATACCAAGCTTACTGCCCTAACAGCTGGTCTTGGCTAGAGAGATGAGAGAGAGAATGTGAAAGTGCAAACTGATCAACGATAATTCCTAACTTGGTAAAGTGATGGGTTGATAATCTGATGCTTCATTGCTAGATTGCCAAGTAGCAATAAAGGTTGACGCATGGCATTATAAGTACATAGCAAAAAGATTGCAAAGAGATAAGGTTAGGTGACACGATTTTTTAAAGATGAAGGCTTTCAAATTAGATTTGTATATTATTATTTTTTATTTTTTAAAAATAAGTTGATGTATTTTAGTGATATATATATTTGTAAGAGTTTGTAATTTATAATGTATACGAGTTTTATACGAGCTTGTGTTTAAGAACACAAACGAGCCTAAGTCGAGTTTATGTTCACGAGCTTATACAAGGCGAGCTCAACACTGCTTGGGCTCGACTCGTTTAGTAAACGAGCTTCGAAATTGAGCTCGAGCTCAACTCATTTGCTTAACGAACGAGTCCTTAGCGAGCCGAGCCTTCGTTATTCATGAACAGCTCGGTTCATTTGCAACCCTAATGTAAAGTGAGAGCCCAGTTGGTGTGGTCCATGTAGCGGGTACAACCAAGTCCCAGCAAAGGGACGGCAGCGCTCGAAAAGATGATAAAATAATCCAAAAACGACACGGGAAATGTTAAAGTTAGCTGTTTTCTGAAAGCCCATTTTTGTTGAGCCGAATTTGTGGCCTTTATCCAATGTTTTACCTGTGGATTCAAATTAGTTGATAGTATAATTGGTTTTTTTTTAAAAAAAAAAATAATATGACAATTCTTAATAGAGCAATGTTATTCCAGCAAAAAATTGTGGCCAACTAAACAATGTGAAAAGAATATGACCAATAAATATTAACAACTTTAATAAAAATAAATAAAAAAAAATTTATTTTTAAAATATATCAACTTTAGTTATTATCTGACATATCCACAAGTTTTACATGGTAAGAATCCGAAAAAAGTCCGAGGCCTGAACCTGATAGGCTAATGGCCTGGTCTTGGTCTGGATCGCAGAGGCTCGCTGGCCCAATTAAGAAAATTAATGGTCCAGAATCAACAATATATATATATATATATTAAAGATCAATTTTTGTTTTTATTTTTTATTTTTCCGAGAATTAAAGAAGACCCGACACTCACCAGATGCTTGCCGTCTTGAAGAGTTACCTATTTTGTTAATTTCTTGATTTGTTTTTAAATATTACAAGAAGCACATGTTATATTAATACAATGATAAAGTACTATACCGAGGACTAATTGGCCTAGCGGTATCCTTTTTTTCTCTTTAAAGGGAAGTAGGGGGTTCAAATATCGGTGGAGGTAGAATTAAAAAAAAATGATAAAGTACTATTCATTTACTTATACGAACAGGGAGGCTTGAAAAATAATTCTGATATATATGTATTGAACTTGGTTTATTAGACACTTCAAACCTTTCCATCCATTGCATATATAAATCAAGAATAATACCCCTACCTTTCTGTTGAATAATTACACGAGCAGACCAACCAATATACACAAAATAGTTCTTAATTTTTTTATTCTCTCGAGTGCTTATAAATCTACCTGCCTTGAATTTATTATAGGTTAATTCAAAATATTTAAAGTCATGTAATTAATGTACAATTAATATGTATTGAATGCATAATTAATGTGTAATTAAGGTATATTAATATTTAAAGTTATGTAATTAATATATAATAAATATAGAATATTTAAAATCATGTAATGTCTGCATCGTTATGGGGCGCCATTATACCATGCAATAAAAGGCACTTCCCTATCTACATATATATATACATAATTATATACTACGTATATACTTAGATTGAAGTATAAGCAGACTGAAGATGATGAAAGTTGCATAAGTGAATTCCACTCCAAGTTAATATGAAAACCAAGTTAAAGCCACTGTTTTCTCAAAGCCCAGATGTTTTGAGCCCATATTGTGGTCTTTATCCAAGCTTATCCTACAACAAGTAAACCATACTCTTCAAACCCATTTCGAAGAAACTAACATAGTCATAGGCCAATCTTATCTTCCTGAGCAAAAATATCATCCAAGCCCAGTTAGTTTCAACTCTATCCGGAGTCTGGACCATTCAACCCGATTTCTCCTAGACCCTTATACAACCAAACCCTAGACACTCAAGTGTGTTTCTTTGACCATAACAATGTTGTTCAAGCCCAAAACTTTGGCCAACTAAACAATGTGAAAAGAAGATGACCAATAAGTATTATTTTTATTTTCGTTTTATTTTAATTTTTAATTTTTAATTTTTAATTTTTTAAATATAGCAACTTTATTTATAGCCTCACATACCCACATCTTTAACATAGACAGGAAAGTGAGTAAAACTAAAACTTCCATTTTTTATTTTTATTTTTAAAGAAAAAGTAAAATTACAATTTCATTCCTTGTCCTGTATAGAACAAACTGTAGATGGGAGACATCATGGATTCTATTCTTTTTTTTTTTTTTTTGAAACTCATAGCTCCCCTATGTAAGGCCTTTTGGACCCACCTTAAGCTACAAACTAAGATTGCAGCGGCCGATCCATAGTTTGCACCAAGTAATTCAAGATTTATAATGGAGATGAATGAATTCGAACTTGAAACATGTGACTACCTAAATTGTTACTTACCAACTCATCCAAACCCTGGGGACAATTGGATTGTAAATTGAATCCTAACTTTATCAATTGGATACAACCATATAATTTTGGAAAAAAAAGAAGTCAACCATATAATTTTGGGAAAAAAAAAGAAGTCAGCAAAAAAAAAAAAAAAACATATGATTGATTTTAGTGCCACTATTCTGAATGAGTCTCTATCATAGGACTCCATAAATAAATGGATCTTATTTTGTTGCAAGTTAAGTGATATAAAGTAATGACAATGAATTCTATCATATAATCTAGTTTTTTATCACTTATATTAAAAGTAAGAATTAAGGGTCATGTGGTTTAATTGTATCTCTTATATCACCTAAAGTAGATGGTGTGGGTTCAAGTTTCAAAAAGAACAAGTTGGTTGTAAGTTTCTCAAAAAAATATCATTGATCCTAGTGCGGCTAATATGAGGACTCCATATTCAAGTCAAGTGCTATAAATAAATGACAATAAATTCCATTATATAACCTAGTTTTCACACTCCGAATAGAAATCAGAAATGGTGGTCTGGATCCTTTTTTTCCCGGGCCAACAAAATGCTATCTTCATAAATTTTTTTTTTTACTTTGCCTTTCTTCATTAACTAGTTCAATATTTGTTGGTTCACAGTCCTCTCTTTTTTTCTTTTCTCAAAGTACATTTAGTTTTTTCAAAAAAAAAATTCAAAACAAACAGAGACACCCACAACATGTCCCTAGTGGGATAAAAAAAAAAAAACCAAATCATAGAATACCAAAATAAACTATCCAAAATACATTCTCCCAACATACCAAAATGCAGAAACCAAATTACATTATTTCAACCTACCAAACCAAATTACATTCTTTTAACAAACCAAATTACATTATTTCAACATACCAAACCAAATTACATTATTACATAAAATTCCATAAAAATCACCCTCAAGTCTCTTCAAAATTTTTCCATGAGTTGTGGACCTGAAAAGAAAATGAAATAAAGGTTAGACTGAATCAAAGAGTATAAATTAAAGAAGAACAGAGAACTAAACGAAGCTGCCATATTTGATAGATTCTGTTAATAAATAAATAAATAAATAAAGCTGCATAGCCTAGTTCACAATAAAACTCATCTCATCCTATAAAATAATTTTGATAAAGTCACTAGTAATAATAAAAATACATACCAGCTAGGGTGTTATTTCAGTTGCGATATTTGATGATCTTGTCCAGGATCTTGTCCATCCCATCCTTGACTTCATGTTCACATTTAGAAGCATGTTTACTCAAATCCTCGATGCTTTCCATAAACCCATTCAGCTTCTTCTTGATCGTATCCATAGTCAGCCGCACAGCACTCTGGTCATCTTGAAGTTGAAGAGCGAAATCAACACTATCCAACACCGACTCTATCTCCTTTTTCAAATCATCCACACCAGATTGAATCTCCCCCAACTCAATTTTCCCAATGTTATAATCCACATCTAATGAACTTAGTATGTCTCCCTGTGCTCTCAGCACATCCTCATGCTTTTTCCAAAGGTGATCAATCCAAACACCCGCCCCCACCAATGCCACAGCAGACAAGGTCACTACAACCACCGGTAAAGCCGCAACACAACAACTTACCAGAAAAGTAGCAGCAGTAAAACCAAACAATACATTCCACACAGTCCTACAAGTCTGCACGTTTTTCAACTTCTCATCAAGCTTACTCTTCTTTTCTTTCAAATTCTGTAACATTGAATCCTGGTTTTCACGAACACATTTTAACAAGGAGGAGAACCTCTCTGTAAATGGATTACCTGCAGCCTTGAATTTCTCCAAAAAGTTTAACCCGGATTCTCTATCCTCTGTCTCGATTTTATGTAAAGCGACTTCAATAATCAAATGGTCGTCTCGGGCACGGTTGATGCACTCCTTGAGAACAGTACAGACTTCCAAAATCTGAAGACTCTTGTCAAAGAAGTCCTTCACTATCTCGTACAGGTCATCATCCCTCAATATCTCCTCTTTGAATTTGAGAATGTATTTGGCCACTTCTACATTTGTCTTGACGAAGCAGCCTGTGATCTCTTTTACTGACTCCAGAGGGAGTGACCGATCGCCGCCGGCGTTCACGCCCTCCTTGAGGGTGTGGATGACTCGGCCGGTGCTTTGTTGGAGGCCCAAATCGAATTGCTTAAGAAAGGGATCTCCTTCACACTCGGCCTGGTAGGCTTTTAGATGGGACTCCATGTCTGAATATTGATGCTTTTCCATTGTGATGCCCAAACTTGGATTCAACGAGACAGAAATTACAATAATTTGAAAGCCTGTTGCTGCAACAATAAGTTGGCTCTCCGTCAAGGTCTTGCATCAAAAATAAATAAAATAAAAAATAAAAATAAAAATTCATCTCCCTGTCCAGGTATTGCTGAATGAAAAAATAATAATTATTATGCTCGCCGCTGATGCGTTACTGAAAGATAAATTAACCTTTCGTGAAAATATTGCATCAAGAAAAATACATGTCATTGCCAAATTGTTGCCAAAAAACAAAAAAATTATTGGCCCTCCACCAAGCTGTTGCTGAAAGAATTATTGGCTTTTCGGCAGCGTAAAAAATGCATCTCCCTGACCAAAACGTATGTGAAAAAAAATTGGCTCCCCGGCATTAACTTCAAGAAAGTTTCGCTCTCTGCCAAGGGATTGCTGAAAGATGCCTTGGCAGAGACTGAACCGTTGCATGCAACGAACTTTGGACCTATATATTACTAAAGAAACCTCTCCTTCTATGCTGGGCGAATTAAGTATAGTTTGAATAAAGTCAACAAAGAAAAAGACTAAAAATAAAGAGTTAGTGGATGAAGCATCCTAGTTGTAAAGCATCAGTCAGATGGATGCATGGACTTGTATTAAAAAAAAAAAAAAAAAAAAAAAAAAAAACAAAGGTCATATTCTTTAATGGCCATTGGTTTCAGTTTGAAAACTTTTAAAGAGGTTGACTTGTTTAGAAAAGAAAATAATAATATGCTCGCCGCTGAAGTGTTGCTGAAAGATAAATTGATTTTTTGTCAAAATGTTGCATCAAGAAAAAATTCATGTCATTGCCAAATTGTTGCCAAAAATATATATATATATCGGCTCTCCACCAAGCTGTTGGTGAAAGAAATATTGGCTTTTCGGCAGCATAAAAAATGCATCTCGCTGACCAAAGCGTATGTGAAAAAAAATTGGCTCGCCGGCATTAACTTGAAGAAAGTTCCGCTCTCTGCTAAGGTATTGCTGAAAGATACCAGCAGACTGAACCGTTGCGTGCTACAAACTTTGGCGAAATAAGTAAAGTTGGAATAAAGTCAACGAGAAAAAAGACAAAAAATAAAGAGTTTGTGGATGAAGCATCCTAGCTGTAAAGCATTAGACAGATGGATGCATGGACTTGTGTTTTATTTATTTTTTTTTTTTAAAAAAATAAAAAAAAAAAAAAAAAAGGAAAAAAAGAAAGAGTGGTATTCTTTGATGGCCATTGGTTGCCCAGTAGATGTTTCAGTTTGAAAACTTCTAAAGAGAGAGGGCGACTTGTTTAAAAAACAAAAAGGAATGATACATGTGCCGATTCATTGTTGGTGCTAATTCCTATTTACGTGTAGGATTGTTTTGGTTTTCAAATCAAGATATTGTTCGATTAAATAAACCAATTTGTCAGAAAAAATAATAATAATACCGAGTAATAAGAAAGGAGGTTCATAGCAGTTAAAAAAAAAAAAAAAAAGGGGCTTGGAAAGAAGCGAACCTACAAATCTTTGGAATACCCGTTCGCTTTTGAAGTGATACTAAACACACGGCATGGGATCATGTTTATAGAGGAGAAGAATAATATCCTTTCTGCAATAGGATAATTTAAATTTGATGGGCTATATTGAATGGTGGTCATTTAACATGCGGGTAGTGATAGGTGGGCGATGATTTTGGCAGAATACATATGAAAGTCCAGGTAAATAAATTTAACAAATAAAAAAATAAAAATAAAAAAGAGAAACAATATACGCGTCCGCAAATTCATCTTTCCCAGGCTGTCAAGTTTTATGCTAAGTTCTTCTTTTCTGATAATTATCAAATCTCTCCATCTTCGTTTCATCACTTCAAACAATATTTTTTACCATCTTAACTTAAAAAGAGAAAGAACTTTTAATTATCCAAAGAAAAAAAAAAAAAAAAAAAGAGAAAGAACTTTTGATTTTAAAAGTATATGGTTACAACTTCATATCATATATCATATTCATATATATTTATAGATATTGTATCATATGTGTAATTTTTTTTTTTGAAGATAAATATGCGTATTTATTTGTTTGATTATATTATTCTTCAAAGTCTCTAAAAATTTTTCAAAAAGATATTAGAGAGAGAAATACAATTAGAAAAGAAAGAAATAAGAGAGAAGAGATGAGAAAGAAAGAGATGGAAGTGGCCCAGCTGGATAGGACACGTAGTTTCTGCCAAAGTAACCGGTCAAATACTTCGGTTGAAATATCATTTTTCTTTAACATGCTAACGGTATTTTGTAACATAATTGTACAAATTATCATATTTGTAATAAGTTTTGTTTAGTAACTCTAATACGTAATTGTTTTACCGTATATGTTGTATTTGTAATTATATCCTCAAAATTAGTTTTTTTTTAACCTAATTATTATTATTATTTGTTTAAAAATTCAACCATACACAAACTATTTTTCTTATTCAAAATAGACTCTTAACACAAACTATACGTAATTTCTGCCGTATATGTTGTATATTTGTAATTATAGTCTCAAAACTATTTTTTAAAAAAAAAAAAAATTCCCTAATTATTATTATTATTTACTTAAAAATTCAACCATACACAAACTATTTTTCTTAACCAAAATAGACTCTTAACACCCTCCATTAAACTATTATTTGTTTAAGAATGTGTTCGGCCACTTCTCCATTTGTTTTGACATAGTAACATGTGATCTCTTTTACCGACTTCAGAGAGATTGATCAATTGCCAGCGTTCACACCCTCGTTGAGGGTGTGGATGATGCACCAGTGCTTTGTTGGAGTCCCAAATCGAATTGTTTAAGGAAGGCATCTCGTTCACAATCGGCCTGGTACGATATCAAATGGGACTCCATGTCTGAATATTGATGCTTTTCCATTATTTTGCTAGATTAACCCCATTGTGAAGCCCAATTTTATTTTTTTAAAAAAATACTCTGTTTTTTTGCAAGGAAATTTTCATTTTAATATAGAGCATAGCATATAAAAAAAAAATTAGGCCCCACAAAGGCATAATATTCATTTTGAACTTTTTTTTTTTTTTTTTTAATGGTGAGACTATAAAAGAATGAAAATATTTTGACTCAAAATATAATATCTTATGAAATCGATCTCCGTTGGGCTAAATTTTTTTCAGATATTCTAAGTATGAAAAGTTAGAAATTGTTTTATATGAGTGAAAACAACTGTTCCTCTACCATACAATTTATCAATCAAGAAATCACAACACTTGTTAGGGATATGGGAATTGGATAAGGTGATTCAGCTTGTACCAATTGAATTGTGTTATCTAATAGATATCTTACCCACACCTCAACATTCCTTTTCTCTTGTTGTCATGTCCATTTGGGCCAAAATTCAATTCCAACTGCCTCTAGACCAACGAATCCAAAAACGATAGAGTTCTTATGACCCTCTTTTGTCCACCAATCTAAGTCCAAGTATGAAAAGTTAGAAATTGTTTTATATGAGTGAGGCCCACCTAATTTAAACAACTGTTCCTCTACCGTACAATTTATCATTCAACCAATCACAACACTAGTTAGGGATGTGGGTATTGGATAAGCTGATAGGGCTTGTATCAATAGAATTGTGTTATCTATTAGATATCTTACCCACACCTCAAGCTTCCTTTTCTCTTGTTGTCATGTCCATTTGGGCTTTAGATATTCTGATCCGTATAAAAATGAATGGTATTAAAAATTTTGCTATCAATATCTGGAATCCTTATTTCATAAGCTTTTCATGCATAAATTATTTACAATTTTTAAATATACGGTTTGTGAAATATGAATTTTTGAAGTTCGGGAGAATTTAAATTTAAACAAAAGGACATTTTAGTACAAATATAAACTCTTTTACGCCCTTAGATAATTGAGGGAAGTTCTTTGGTAAAAAATTAAACAATGATATTTAGTGAGAAAAGGCTACAAGTTAAGGGGACTTCTTTGATAAAAAAAAAAAATAAAAAAAAAAAAAAATAGACGAGAGTTTACTGAAAATGACTATAAGTCGAGGGATTTTTTTTTTTTTTTTTAACCTATTAATTATAGTCTTTCTTTTTTTATTACAATTTTAACATATAAACACATTTCATAAAACTCCTTGTGTAAGGAATAAACACCATAAAGTTGCACTTGGTTCATTACTTTTGACATTGGTCAAATCTGAAAAATATTGATTTATATATATATATATACAAGATAAAATACCAAATATAATTAGAAGCAAAATTAAATATAAAAAATAAATAAGTAGATAATACAAATTCATGTAGTAACTAGATTCCAACAAGTTAATCAAATACTCCATCTGTCCCAAAATAAATGTCCTATTAATTTGTGAGTCACGGTTCCCTAAACAAGACGTCTTTAATGGGACAGAGGTAGTAATTAATAATACCCGTACCACTCGCATCATCAGGTTCCGATCATTCTTATACATGTACGGGCACATGCAAATAAAATAATCACATGTACTGATATATATATATATATATATTAAATAATATTATTTTCACTCTTTTCCATCCCTTGCATATATAAATAAAGAATAATTCTCCTACCTTTGTGTTAAGTAATTCCACATGTAAACCTTACTCATCGCAACCAATAAAGATACACAAGAAAAACAAAACCTACATCATCGTTTCGACCTCACCATCGTTAATCTTGTTCATTGGTTCAAGCTCGTCGATCCACTTCATGTCATTCACATTTCCTTGCATTGTCGGTTCATCATTGCTCGCCAGCGTGTTTCCTCGTTCATTGTCATCATCAGAACTGCAATTCTCGTCGCCATCCTTCATTGCTGCTTCACCATCGTTTCGGCGGTTGTCGTCTGTTGCCGGTAAGTTCAGTCCGTTCATACTTGAATAGCCAGTAGTCTCGTTGCCACTGGAATCCTCACAACCACCAAGTTCCGCCATCGCTTCACTCTGTTAACAGCATTGCCGAGGATGTTCAATCATCGCTTTGTGATCTGCCACTTCCAATTTTAAAAAGAAAATAAATGTTTTGAACCCTAAATTACCCACCATGATTCCTTTAACAAGCATAGCCTCATAAAACCAATTTGACATCTAATCAATGTTGTGGAAATTCCACATATTTATAGAAAAATATAAAGTACAATATTCATACACAATTAATTCAAGATAATGAACAACAACACCAATGTGAAAAATCTAATAACGATTTTTTCATTAAACTGAATAGTACATCAATTGAACAATATGGATATAACAATGAACATGAATTTAACAAGATAATAATTCAGCAACATAATATTAATATTAACTTAATAATATAAATTAAGAATGAAAACGACAATAATAAAATAGGTAAGAAAGAGTTGGCCTGATTGTTGAGGCATGTGTAAACACATTGACCTAAAACTGATAGTCCTCTCTTCCGTACGAAACTAGTCAACTCTAAGATACAACCCAATCAGATCGCAGCGGCGTCTCCTTCATGTGAACGACCATAAGAAGATTAGGTCCAAGTCTATATAAGTCTTGTTGCTCATAAAGTCAATATGTAAAATAATATACACTAACATCTCCCAAAAGAAAGAGTTTTGGAAATAGATTATAGAATAAAAAGAAGAATCTTAATCACTCTATATCATCACTCATACATCAAACACTTCTCTATAGAAAAATGAGAAGTCTTCCTATATATACAGAATAATAAGTATAACGGTTATCCACACTTAATATGATATTACGTAAAAATTAAAATGATTAGATTAAATATAATTTAATAGTATTTAATATATTATAACTGAATATATAATTTATTATATATTTATTTACTTTTATTAAAATATTTCTCAACAATCCCCACCTATTTTAATAAAATAAGTAATATAAATAATTGAGCAACTTTATACTATGCAATCGGTATAGGTGTTTTCTAGGCTTGAACCTACACTTAGTGTGATAGTCTCCATTTGAGGAACTTGAATGAAATAAGTCTTGAATTCGGTTCCTTGAGCCAAACTTCAACATACCACACGCATAGTATTGACGATGGACTTGGTTTGACGGGTTAGCGCGATTAATGGCCATGCGCTGATATCTTGATTCTCATGAAAGCTCTAGAGAATAGCCCAACTCTCACGATCGTGGCCTCGCAACGACTTTCACTTAGGTGAATCTTCCAAGGGTATATGTGACCTATACCCTGCGAGAGTATGCTCGCCTCGAATTCATTCAAGGGAAAGCCCTTCATTAACGTCACATCACAACACTGATGCCATAGGGATCTGCAGGAAAGAATTTCCTCGAGAAACCTCCTAAAAAATAGTGTTGTCAATAGTTCACGCAGTGCAGATTGTTTCTATCCATTGAACCTTTCTTCATGTGATTATATCGCCAATAAGAAGGTTGGGTTACTTCCGTAGCTGACTCTCTAAGTCTCTTGCTGCTTAGGCCCATCCCCCTTGACATATATTGTACT